CAACCATTTATCTTTTACTTTTGAACTACATCAAATATTTATTGTTTCCACAGCTTCAGTCTTGTACCACTTCCCTTTAGTTCATATTAATGCAGCCTCTCTTCAGAAGTGACCCAAGAACTGCTCACACTGGCTGGGAATCAACGATCCGTTCAACATAACGTGACCCAGTGGATGTATTGATACTATCACTACCAGGGTTATTGGATCCCTCTCCTCCCATCTGACATTAAAAATGGGCCTCTGCACTCAGGAATATTGGTAAAACTCAATCAGTCAATGTGCCCGAGCATTAAGGAAGCACAAGTGAGAGCAGCCATAAACGACACCAGGACAAATGATTGATTTTCAAGCCAAAAAACATGAAAACTAATCTCCTGAAAGATCAATTTGGTCAAACTGCTCCAGAGGCCAGATATCTGTGTCAATGACATCAACACATTCATTGAGCAATGATTCAAACAGATAAGGGATCTGGCCAAGATTGAAATTAACTGGCTTGAACAATGGGTCCTGTCTATTGCCTGGCCACTGTGCCGTCAATCATGCCAGGTGTAGAGATGGAAATACAACAACATTGACCCCAAGCTCACATTTAAAATAGATAGGTGCTACAGTTGACAATTATGGGTGATGTTCTCCATGACCTTGGCACTTGCGTGAGCTACGTTGCTAATGCTCAGTTAGCCGGTGACATCAGTTCAGCTGTCATTATCAAACGCCCCGGAGGTTTAATGCATATAAAAAGAAAAGGGAATGGTAAGGCACTACAGTAAAATGGATTTGGTGTGAAGGGACATTAAACACATGTTGTACCTTGGCAGTGTCCTTCCTCATCCCTTCACTGTGCCCCCCCCCCCCCCCCCCCCCCCCCCCCATCCTCACCCCCAATGCCTCCCCCCTGCTCCACAGGCCTGCAGCGACAATATGTTGTGGACGCAATGATGCTGGTGACATAAGATCAATGCTTCAGGGTTAACACAAATCTACACACAGCTGCTTAACCCTTGTTCTTAAACTGATGCACAATGACACATGGCCTGTGTGAAGTACACATGCTGACACACATATCAGCGGATTCACTATTTACATAAAAGTAACAGTGACACTGGAAAAAAGATGCTGCAGATACCAGCCGAAATATGGATTAGGTCTGCTGGTGTCTCTGACGGAGGATGCTCAGCAGTAAATCCAGAAGACGCTTTAGAAATTATTTCATGTAATTGAGGGGGTCGGGGTAAGTATAAAATATATTGTGACTCTTCTTGACACTGGCTCATGAATATTGTGAACCAGCGCCACTGGCTCTGTCCCGTAAAGACAATCGCAGCAGACAGGCTGAATGCCATCCAAACAGATGTTGCTGTTTAGCAGAGCAAACAGCGTGAACATTGAACAATTTAAGACAGAGCAGGATGGAAATAGCCCGCAATATGTCGCAGCGTCCTTGCTGATTTTCACGCACATGATGTCATTCATTCTAAAATTAGGAGAAATGCATTTTGTGACAGATTGTTCACTGAGACGCTCCGCAATTCATTTCAGCTCATTACTGTTACAGCACTGTGCATCCATACGAGGACATGCTGAAAGCTCATCGCTCACGATCAAGTTATTAAACACGAGGATCATAAAACATATAAGTATCCATATATGCATATATACACCCCCTTTAATAAACACAATAAATAATTATTAATATCGGCATGCAAGCTGGGACATCTGGATAAAATGAGATGTTGATCCATCTCCTAAACAGGCCTTAAAGACAAACAGCTTATTTACATTTATAACTCCAGCCTTATTAATATTTATAATCCATTTTTCAAATAAGGAAACCTCTGGCCTCCTCTTGTGCTCAACTTTTCATGAATGTGGACTGAACTGCAGTTCTAACTGTGTATAAAAGATCTCAATAAAAGTAGTAGAAGGATTTAACTAGAAGTTATGATGAAAGCAGTGACTACGTTTTGTGTAAGTTTAGGAACAGTCTCTGGCATCTAAGCTACACATTCACATATGCATCCGCACACACACTGCACGTGTTTGAATTTGACATTAGTAATATCCTTCCCTGGATATCAGATACCAACACATTGTAAACATCATGAACTATTTGATCATAAAACATTATAAAACATTACAGAATAAAGAAAAGTGATTCCTTAAAACAGACACACAAAATAACCAGTAGCATGTTGTATACTATAAGACACAGATAGAGAGGCAGGCTTTAAGCAGGTGACACTATAAACACTAGACATAGAAAGAACAATTGTAGAGACTCACAAGAAGGACTTGACATCCAGGCCTCGATTCCGCATCTGGTCCATCATGTAATCCCAGCTGCCCGGATTGGCACGTGAGCGCCCTGCTGCTCCACCTCCCCTATAGTGAGAGGCACCTGCTCCTGCTGGGCTGCCCCGCGCACCCCGGGGACCGCCTCGCGTACCTGCACCCCCACCCTCACCACCACTTCCACCTCCCTCTCCTCGCCCAGCACCCCCGCCTCCCCCTGGCTGTCCAGGTGCAGTGTGTAATTGTCCCAAGCTCTGGGATGTGGTGGGAGGATGGGCGAGACCGGGGCCCGGCGGGTGGATGAGAGGCTGCTGAAGACTCTGCTGGCGCAAGAGCGTCCGAGGCCGGGCGGGCCCAGAGGGGATGTGCTCCAAAGTGGATGCATAGGATAGGACTGGATCCCCAAAGCTGGGAGGGCAGAGGAGCAGGGAGGAAAGAGAACGTGAAGAAGGCCACGGCCGGCAGAGGATAGGATGATGAGGAGGGGAGAAGGAGTCAGAGGTCACGGAAGAAGAAGAAGAAGAAGAAGAGGAGGATGAAGGAGAGGAGCCGTGGCAGGAGGAGGTAAGTTGGTCAGAAGTGGTGAGGAGAGAAGATGAGACAAAGAAGAGGGCGAGAGAATCCTCAGAGATGAGACAAGGTGGCACAGGACAGAGGGGAGACACAGCAGAAGAAGTCAGGTTGACATCAGGATAGAAACAGGAAAGTTCATCCAAACAGGAAGTTGATGAGGAGTAGGAGGAAGAGGAAGGAGGAGGAAGGGTGGAATTTGAGGACAAAGTGGAGAAGGAGACAGTGGGAGGAGTGGTGGGAAGTGGGGACAGGAGGAGGAGGAGAGAGAAAGAGAGCAACGTGAGGCAGCAGCAGTAACAGCAGTAGCAGAAATAACAGTAAAAGGTGCATCCTGAGTTGTCGCTGTGTGCCGTGTGCTGCGTGTGGGGCGGCGGCGAGCAGCAGTGTGCAGACTGTGAGCTTGCCCTGCGTGTCGGCTGCGTCAGATGTGTGTGCACCCTGCGTGTCTGCGTGGTCTGCGCGTGCTGTTTGCGTGCGGGTGTGTTTCGCACGGGCAGTGGTCGGATGTGCACAGTCCGAACGGGCGTGATGCGGCCGTGCGCAACGTGACTGCGTCGAAGTGTGTGGATGGAGGTTTTGATGCTCCCAGGCCTTCCTGTCGAGGGTTTTTTGGTCTGATGAGAGATCCCCATTATCTCGACTCGTCAGTCAATTTTTCCCATCTCTGATAGCCTCTCCTCCTTTTTCGTCTTTTTCGTCTTTTAAATACATGCTGCTCCTCTAGAGACATCCCGGCAGCCAACCATGTCGTACAGTAGGACTCCCTCCCTCTGTCACAATTTCATTTTCCACTCCTCCTCTTTATAAATGCTGTTTAATTGGCTCAATAGCTTCTTAAAATATGTTTCAATAATCATGTCCACACAATGGTGAGTGACACTAATGTGTTCTTTATTTCTGTGTTTTCTGGGATCTTTAGTATCATCTCTTTTAAATCTTTTTTACTCCCTAAATATATCCTCCTCTCTCTCACTGTGTAACCTAGACTACCAGAATTAGGTCATGAGAGAGCTACTCACATCAGTTTACTCTGCTTTGCATTACTTCACCTATAATGCAATTTTGCAATAAGGCTTTTAGTGCGCTATCCATCATATTTAAGTGTCACAGATGAAAGGATAAAAAGGGGAATGCAGAAACAGAAAGAGTTTGTGGGCAAAACAGAAGAAAAGGGAAAAAACGAGGAGTTGCTTCACACGGCAACAGAAAGATGGAGGGAGTGATGGGAACGATAAGAACTGAGGGTGAGGATGGAGGAGAAACAGAAAATGGGGTGCGAGACACAAACACAAGAGACACAGACACTTATAGCAGCCTGAAAATAGAATCCAATTACAGACAGGGGGCAAAAAGAAAGATGAGGAGAGAAGGAGGGAATGAGGAGTGAGGTAGTGATGAGTGTAAATGTGTTGTGGAGGAAGAAATCGCAGGCACGAGGTGCCAAAGGAAGGTGCAAAAGAAATCATGGAAAACTCAACTGCCTCATTTTCAACTCGCTGAATTTACAGTGGAGCCTAAATCATGTCGTACGTCATGGTTGTGGGATACAAGCAGTCAGTGACCAACACGCAATTCACATTTCAGCCTTACCCTTAATTACAAGTCAGGCTGGCAGCATGTGACACATTATTTCAGTCAGTGTGTGAAAATGAGACTATTTCTGTTTTGCACTGTTGAAAGTGTACTTGCAGGCTGTGCAGTTCTTCACATAAATAAATCATTTTCTCCTGCAGATTGGTACAGGAGGCCACACCGTGCAGCCGGGCCGGCTGTCTGAGTGGAGGTTTGAGTCACAGTGTTACGCAGCTCCTGTAACTATTGTTATCTTCTCATGATGAGGAGAATTCACCTTTCCCCAGAGCTCATATTTTGATTTGTGCCCACACGCTCACCTCCATACCTGAGCTGCACTTTCCTGGACCTGCCTCTTACTGCTGATTCACTCACCTAATCATAGCTGAGGTACAAAACTTACCAGAGTGACATTTGCATTATAAAACATGGTGTTTATTCTGCTGCACAATCACTTAAACGTTCACTTTTTAAACGCCCAGTTCTGAACTCACTTGCTGGGTCTCAGTCCTCCAGACTGCATGTGGCCCTGGACGGTCTGCCACCTCCCGGCCTTCACTCCCTCTGTCACCATGCTCTTCACGCTGTCACTGCGATAAGGACCCCCCCCATCATCCCCATGCCCAGTTGCTGCCCCCTTCTGACCCCCTGACACTGCCCCACTAAGAGAGAGAGACAGGGTGCGGAGGTCCCACGGCGGACAGGGGGTATAGAGGAGGGAGAATAACGACAGGCAGAGGAGAAAAAGACAAGTAAAGACACGCAAAAGAGTTTGAGAAAGACAGACACAAACACACACAACACACACACAGGAAAATAGATTGAGCAACTACATGGCTAAGGAGGTGAGACAGATCAGAGTGTGTGTGTGTGTGTGTGTGTGTGTGTGTGTGTGTGTGTGTGTGTGTGGCGGGATGAGGACAGGTCTACTTTTTCAGGCACGTGGATGAAAAGGTCCAGTGTGGAGAAAGAGAGGGATGGGGGAGTGGAGAGCAGATAAGAGGAGGAAGAGGAGGAGGAGGAGAAGAAGGAGCCTGTGAAGGGTGGAAAACCAGCGAGAAGTGACTCCTTTGGCCCTGGAGGACCAGGGCAGCAGCTGCCAGCATTCACAAGCTGGCATCAGTGTGTGGACCCTGGTCACTTTGTTCTCATTTTCTCATTCATTTAAGACATTTGAGACTGGAGGTTTGCTGCTATACGAGGCAATTCAATAGAAGACTGCAGCAAAGTGCCTCACGAGCAAATAATCGACTCATTGGGAGAAGTCATCCAAAGTGACATTCAGTTCAATACAAGTGCTTCTGTTCCTGTAAGACACCGTCCCGCTCTATTTTTAGATATCATTCTGTTCACCTGGTAACTGCTTAGCATCCATAAACAGGAAGTGGTGAAATACCTGCAGAAATCATCATGAGGGCAATCTAATCATATCAACCTCCAGTGATTAACCAGTGTTCCTACTTAAGAGCAGTTGTCAACTCAGATTTCATTTATAAAAACTGGTTTTGGGTTTGAAATGTCAAGTCTGCTCTAAAAAAGCAGCGATGATCAAAAATAAAGCACAGTAGTGCCCTCTGGTGACATGACTACATTTCATTAATATGCATGGTGCTCCTGCTCGGGGAGACGCAAAAATAGGAGAAACACAGAAAGACACTGTCGCCTGGTGTGTATGCCTGAGATGGGAAGGGAGGAAGAGGAGTGGTGGTGTGGCCGGGTGCTACTCTTACATCATGTCCCTTTGAAGGTCACCTTTCACATTTAATTCTGACCAAATGACCTGACAGTGCACGTGGATAAGTCATCAATCACAACCACAGTACGGATGACACTGCCGGAGCAACGGTCAACACAGGAGTCATGGGCCTCATTTATCGAGCAGAACACAAGGTGAAAGTCTTCCCTCTTTATTTAAAAGATATCCAGACATCAAATCCTGCAGAGTAGACATACATAATCTCGGACACTTTTTTTCATCTCAAACCAATCAGATCAACAGAGTATAATATAATTGACCAAACTCAATACCTACATTTTTAGAGACAATTACGTCAATGCACGACAGCCATTTTTTCATGATTGTGTTATAACTTTCCGCTGACATTTAGCAAATTGTAAGTGAAAAATGTTAGAATTAAAACTCATATCAAGTAAATTTCTCAACATGGAGATTGATGGTGTGAGGGAGGTAATACCTGTTTGATAGATGAGGCCCACTGTGACTGAAAGCTTCTGATCTCCAGAGGATTGTGAACAGGATAATGATTTTCCAGCTATCTGTTGACTTTAGCAACATATTATTGGTTCAAGTCAGGAGGTTGCCCCCTGTATCTGCTGGTGAAGAAAAAATATTTTCAGTGTTTTCTTATTTCAATTAAAATGCCGGCCCTTTTGATTGGCTCACCCACTCCTGATACAACTTATTTTACCATTACTGCAGTAAAAAGTTCATTTAAAAAATCACTGAGAAACTATGAACAATAAATTACAACCTTGAGGGTTTTTCCTATTTCTATTTCTAAAAAAAATTAACTTCTACAGACACAAGCACTGGGCTCTAAAACAGAGATCAGCAGCCACCATCCTCAGGCAGAGTTTTCAGACAGTAATCCATATATCCACAGTGTTCATAAACACACCACTACCTCCTTTCTGCAGGCAATTTACCACACAGTCCACAACGGCTAGGTCTATTAAAGATGACCAGTTATTAGACAGTTTATCAGACAGATGCCTGGTAGCAGGATGTCTGAGCTCAGAGGCCTCTCGGTGCCCGCAGGGAGATAAGTATGACCTTGCAAGGGCTTTATTGGATTCAAGTGCCTATAGTGAGTAAAAAAATGACTTTTATTGCATCAGGTACAAACGCTGTATCTCTCAATGTGATTGACAGTGGATGAAGTCGGAGTGCCACAGCGTTAGTGCAGCAAATGTTAGCTATCAGGTTGATGGGGATCAGAGAGAAGCCACAGATGGATGTGAACCACAGGTGAACACTGGCACCACACTGCAACCTGGTGTTAACGGTCAACCCTCCACAACAACGACAAACTAACAAAAAAAGGCAAATTTCAGTTGATACAAGCAGAGGACAGGGAGATGCACAGGTTACAGAGAAGGCGGGTTAAAGTGTACACATGTCTTTTGGAGAGGAGGGCTATATGAGGGTTGTCCGTCTCCATGGTTACAGCCCATGGGAGAGAGGGGAGAGGTTAGAGGTCAGGAGTTAGTGGGAGCAGCAGGGCTGTAGGGAGTAGGGGGGCATGTGAACACGCGCCTCTGTGTTCATTAGAAGGTGAGGAGTAGCAGCAGAAATTAGCCTGGGGGGGCTTACAGGGCCGCGCTGCCGCTCTGCTGCACTGATAGTCAAATGGCTGTCATGGGGACGCTGTAATGTTCGTATATGACATTTTCCTGAGCAGATTATGAGTAATCATTAGTAACCATTTGTGCCCTCCAGTGTGCTAACATCGGGTGGGTTGTTATTATTGCAGTTATTCCTATTGTGAATGGGAACAGCGTTATTCAACAATAATAATAAAGTCTAGAAATGTGTTTATATTCTGCCACCGTCTGACATGTGGCTCGCTCAAAAGCCCCCCCCCCCGGCCACATGCCCCTCAGTAAAATTTTGTCCTAAAGAATAGAAAAACTACAAAGATTATTAAACCAGGGGATTCAATAAGATGTCTGACTTTATAACATCCATATCCAATGGTTCAATTTGATGAGTGGCTATAGTGGTGGTGACTGCACAGCAATGAATGATGGAGTGTGGAGCAGAGAGGAGAGGAGGTCAGGGAGGAGAACAGAAAGCAGAGGAAAAAGGGGAAGAGAGGGAAGGGAGAGTGGCACTGCCCCTGCCTCGTTACAGCCCTGCTCAGGGGAAAGGTCTCTTACCAGCCTTGGACCAAGACTCACTTGAGTGTGAGGCGAGGATCTCCATATGGAGCATAGGGAGAAATGTTTAGTACGAACTCCTTGGGAGGATAGGAGCTCCACCTCTGCTGCACTGTGCTGCTGTCATTGTTATTCCAAAAGTCTCTGTCTAGATCACTGCGGCCAAAGAGAGAGACAGGTCAGAGCAACACAGCCATGGAAAACCTTGGCACCAAGCAACCAACTCGAAACAGCCGCTCCAGCTTTCAGGTGCGATGCCAGTGCTTGGTGTGAGGGAGAGATATGGTCTAAAACGGCTGCATTAAACAGGAGAGTGAAACAAAACAAATCCAGATGTGCGTGTCTATTTCTACCTGGAAAAACACCATGGTGGTTTGATTTTGAAAAATAACAAAAAAAGGCAGCCTGGAGGGAAACGGTATTCACAAAAAAGCTTTTCATAAAGCAACGTGCGGCAGCAAACATACAGAGATAGAAAAAAAGATAGGCAGCAAGAGAAGAGGAAGTCATAATCTGATGAATACATACAGCGTGTGATTACATTCTGTTCATCTAGCACAGCACCACTGACGGAACACATTCGAGTAAACATTGAGGACTCTGGGCTCCCCCGTCCTCGGCGCGGGCAGAGAGAACGCATGAAAGCATGAGACACAAGACAAAGAGATAAATCGCACAAAGTCAAAGTAGAGGAGGAGGAAAAAGGTGAGCAGAATCACTGATGTCATACAAGTCACACAGCGTTGGCCAGAGCTGTAGCACAGGGACAGAGCGGGAGAGAAAGGCAGTGCGCGGAGAGGAGCTGGAAGGTGAAATGACCAAAAGAGCACACCGATGCTGCTGGAGCCAGTGAGAAAGAAAATGCAAAAAATTAACACCCCCTCCCAAGTCAGAACACATTCACATAGGCCGTCTTTAGTGCTTCAAACCATCCGCACAGAAAATAAAAAGTAAATGTAGACATTCAAATAACAACTGAGACAACAGCAGGCTATAGAAGAGAAGAAGTGATGAGCAGGTTAACACAGGCATTTTGTGGAATAAAGTTTTGTACTTAGCATTACAAAGCTGGCATTTTCTGCTACTGACCTAAATGGTCGCTTTTCATCAGGAACAGAAAATACCTTAATCTGAGTCTGAGCCCTGGAAGAAATGTTAGATCGAAAAAATACTCCTCAACATTTACGCTCCAGCAATTTCACAAAAAAGGAACCTGCGCCGGTTTAAGCGACGCAGAGGTGCTCCTTAAGGCCTGCACTTAAGTGAGACCTATCTTACAGCCCATTAGATAAGTGCAGACCTGTCCAGCAAACAGGTAAGATAATGCAGATTTCATCTATGCTGATTAAATCAATGACCTTTCAATAAATATCTGCAGAACACGCTCCTCATTTTCCACCTTGTTTTTTGGGAAGTGTACGTGGAGGTGCTCGAGCAAATGAAGATCATTATCACCAGATTATTCTAACCCAACCAGTTACTAAGGCACTTACTTGATGGCTTTCTTCTCCCCTCGCCCACGTGCTGAGTCTGGAGTGTCTGCTGTCTCCACTCCCGGCTTATTCCTCTTCCCCTTGAGTCAAGCGGAGGGAGGGGATGACAAAGAATGAAGGGAAACAAAAGGTTAGGCCGGGTTTGTCCTTTCAAGCTGTGTTTTTGCTTTACCAATTTCCAGCG